GCTAGAGTTCTTCTGTGGGTAAGTTCTTTGTTTCTTTTTGTGGGAGGGGCGACGGTGTTTGCGTGGTCAGCCCTTGTGCATAGTTAGGGGTTGCGTATGTGTTGGACTGAGAAAAGAATGTGTGAATCTGGATAAAATGATGTCAACAATAGGCCGGCACATGCATATTCTGGGTTGTATCCTCCACCGCGCTGCACACGGACAAACTGCTCAGGCACCCTCTTTGCGCCAGTCCTGACTGATGATAGCTTTTGGGACTTCGAGAAGAAAGGGAAGAAGGCGTGTGGTGCTGGTACTTTCACACAAAAACATGACACTTATGGCTCAAGGAGGGTTGCAGATCCAAATTAAGAATCTATATAGATGCGGATACACGTAATGCTTATCGTACCAGACAGATAGTTGGAGAAAAGAAGACGAGACTGGAAAGACATCATGAGCTATCGACAGAGGCTGCCGCTAACCGTCACGTGCGCTTTGGTGCCTTGATGGCAGGTGTCTTTGCTCATCACCTTGGGCAAGATGGACGCAAGCCTTAAGCCGCTCGGGCTGTGGTCTAAAGTTCAGTGCGCTCTTGATCTGAGTGGGATGATGTAGTGGCATGATAGGTCTGATGATGTCGCAGTCCCACCATCCTGGAGTGTTTTGTTTTTCGCATTGGTTTTTGCAACATTGAAGGCTTTCCATGAATTTCCATCAAGCCTTGCAAGCATCCCTCACTTCAAGGACCATGCGACCGTTTGACCACCGGCCGATTTACGAGCACTGCGTCGTCGTCCCACAGCGTCGTCTTCCACGGATTCCTCCATGGACTCGGATGGAATCCGCACGACCCGTCGCTGGTGCAGGTGGGACTCCCTCCTGCAGAGCGGGGGAGCAGTGCCAGTTCCCTCGGACGTGGAGGTCGTCGGCGCGGAGGAGGCCGCCGTCGCGTCGTAGGGCTGGGGCGTTCGGGCGTTCGGAAGGGTTGCCCTTCACGAACAAAAAGACGTGTTTTGTTCGAAGAGATCTTCTTGGAGATCCAGGCAATTAATGGCCATTTATAGATTTACCTTATATTTGTAAGGCTTTAAGGTGGACACAGTCAGGAAGCCATACCTGCTATCCTTGTTCCACTATCACTTGGTTGTTTTTGGTTGTTCTTTGCTGCCAGGTTGGAGAAAGTGTGTGGGGGGGAGAGGAACGTGCTGCTACTCATTTTTGCCGGACTTCGATGGAACTTCAGAGCTTTTGCGGGATCCCGAGGTCCTTTGCAACATCTTTGGCACCCTTTGCAACCGCCCATGTCGTTTGCACTCCAGGCGAAGGGTGCCAAGAGCGCAAAACCTGCATGATGGGTGATGCCGTGACCCGACCACTGGGGAGTGCAGGAAGTGGGTGTTGTATTCTATCTCCAGAGGTGCTTCTGTTGCAAAACTGCCAGGGCCTGATGCTGCTGCTACTGCATGGCATTCATAGGAAGCCAACTCCAGTGCGAGGAAGTAACATACAAGAGGTCACGCTGAAGAAACATGCAGCATTGAAGCGAACTCAGGTTGCAGCTTGGTACATTCTTTGCACAAAACGGTCTGTGAACAGTTCGTGCGCAATCACTGATGGGTTACTGATGGGTCACTGATTACATCATGTCATGCCACCGGTGTTTGGAATTCTTATATAGTCTGAAATTCGCTTCATTGGTATCTAGTACATGTCACCTGTCGCCGGATTTACATGCTACAGTGCATCGATGTTTAGAACGCTAAAGCCTTTGGCTGAAAGATGGATGTAGTGCATTGTGATCAAAACAATTCAATCAAAGGACAAGCAGGTTCAACTATAGCACTTGATGAGACGTTTACAGTGCGTCAGACTTTAGCATCTTCCGAGACGATTCTTCTCAGCAAGTCATCTCTTGCTCAATGGATGCGAAGGATGAGAGATCGGAGCGTGGCCCCACAGTTTGCGAAGTGATCAGAGTGTCAGAGGTCAATGTCCTACTCCCTCGAAAGAGCAAATTGAGACGCCGCATGCGCTGCGACGTTGCAGTTTCGCCTGCAGGAGAGGAAGTCCAAATCATTACGAGCGCATCCAATGTCAAAGAAGGTTACAAGTTCATCGTAGCACTTCCGGGCCACAAGACTGCCATTGGCGTGGTGGAGATTGAACAAGTGGGCGAGTTCAAAAGTTTTGGCCGGTTTTGTGGACCCGCCGAGATGGGCTGGCGTTGTAACATTTTGAACAGCCAAAATGCTATTATGCTGCCTGATTCGGCTAAAGTGGGGGATCCTGCGCCCTCGTATGATGAAGCATTGCTTGCTTTTCATCACAACCAGAAGCACCAAAGATTGTCAGAGAAAATCAAGAAGGAAGAACGGGTATGTCGAAGAGACATGGCGCTCCAGGACGCCAAAATTCGGAGCTTGCAGAAAGAACTGACTTCAGAGCGTTCACGGATGGAGAAGACAACAAAGCACCATCAAGAAGAGATGGCACAGAAGAATGACGAAAATCAGCGTTTGAGCGATGAATTGAGAAAGCTCCAGATGGAGCTAGTGCAAGTCAAAGAAGAGCAGGGCAAAAAGTCTTCTTGTGTGGACGGGGCATCCTGGAAATATCAGGGCGATAATGGCGAATGGACTCCGGTTTCAGATTCTCAGCTGATCAGAGACAGGAAAAAGGGGTTGCTGTCCTTCACGTGAAAACAACATAAGACACGGGTGTATGCATGAAGCCCTCTGAAGTTGCAACTAACAAGTTTTCCTCAAAAGCTTCAAACTAGTAAATATCAGAAAGGTGGTAGTAGCTAGCAGTGTCAGTCCAGCTGCGCTTTGTAAGTCACGTTCCCTCACATTCTTTTGTGCAACGAAGCTCAAGATCAACACAGAGGAAGGTGGAGGAAAAGTGAGGAAAACATGTGGACATGTGACTGTGTTTCTGGTAGGTGTTCATGAATCATCCGGTTGTTTCATGTTTTTTTCACCTGCATCCCAGCCTCACGTTTTGCAACCGAGGACAAGGCACATCAAGAGCTTACAGTCAAGCATAGAGAAGGCCGAAAAACCTGCCAGCTTGTCACAGACGGGAGAATCTATGACATCGATTTCACCAAGATGGTCCAGGTGAACCGGCAGACCCAAAAGACACGGAAGATCCGTTGTTTCTTCAACCTTCCACCGCATTGGGGCATCAGTGATGACGATGCTTTGAAGTCTCAAGCCAATGGACATGACTGGATGGGGCCAACGAATCACATCGATGCTGTCACCGATAAATGTCTCCTCGGCAAATTGAACAACCTCCTCAACAGGTCACTGCACCGTCATGATGGGCAACGCTGTACTTGTCCTCACGGAGATTCTAGATTCCAGCTGCTCGAAGCATACCAGGTCAGGAATTTGCCCCTTTGGCGAGCACAACAATGGTATGCTCAAAACATTCGTGACAAACATAAGAGGTATGGAAGCAATCCTAAAGCTATTGAACCATCAGTTGGCCAGGAATTGCGACGATTTGCTGCGGAGATTGAGGTCGACCTAGATGGCAACGAGCTCTTGTTGTTTCATGGCACCACGAGCTTTGATGTTGCAAAAAGAATTGCCAACATGGGCTTTGACCACCTATGCGGCGATGGTGGGTTCTATGGGTACGGGACCTACTTTGCAGCTCAGACCTGCAAAAGTGCTCAATACGCCCACGCAAGAAGCAGGCACGAAAAGGCATCACGGCATAAACCTGGGACTATCATTGTTGCCCGCGTGGCAGTCGGAGATCCATTCTACACACCTCGTACATGCCTGACCAGTCGAGGTGCCGTGGCACCATTCAGCACAAGTTTTTTTTTTGGGGGGTGTGGGTCAGTGGGTCCCGGTGTTTTTTAATGGTTTCCAGGCAAGATGAGTCATTTGTCATGGCCAGTTTGCTACTAAGGGCCACCTCTTCATAGACTTCATACTCGTAGCAGCGTCGAAGAAGTCCGACTTGATAGCATCATTGCAAAGCCAGGTATACCAAATGATCCAACCGGGCAAAGTGACTCAGTGCAAGCTCACATGGAATTTGTGACTTTTGCACCGGAACAAGCCTACCCGGAGTACATCCTTAGTTTCGTTGAAGTTAGTGGCAGGGAGACCTACCATGAGAATCCATGAGTTGGATGTGTTCGCTCTTCGCGAGGCCCTTTGGGTCTCCTGGATCTTTTTAAACCAAAGACCAGACTGGAAGACTGCAAAGAAAGGTCGGGGAAGGTTCGGAGCAGATTCAGGGTTGCTTGAACTATCAGTCAGCAAGTCTGGATAAAGCAACTCTTTTTGCCCTGAAGATGGGTACTCATGACCATGGATCTTACTTCTTGAAGTGGAACAGTTCTCGAGAGCCTCGTCAACAGCCTCGTCATCTCACACTACAGCATTTCAAGCAAAGTGTAGCAGAGTAGCTGTGGTCTAGCACTGCAGTTCAGATTGGTGATCCGCACAGAGATACTGAATGTAGACAACTTTGAAAGACTTCCCCTTTCCAACCAGTACAAACCCATGGTTTTCAGGGTCTGAAATCTTTGTGAGTGCAATCCACGAGTGCAATCCTCATGTCTTGTCAGCGTTGGGATCCAAATCTGCACCTCATCTCTTCGGGGTTCGATGTGATCGAACCCACACTGCTCGCCCCAGGATTGCAGCTCTCCGCGGAAGCGAACCCGGACCAAAAAGCACCGGCTGACCAATATGATGACGTTTGCAGATGAAAGCATTCTGGTGTTTTCCTCCAACTGGCAGTTAGACTAATTGAATTGCATTTCATTCGTGCAGGTGGAAGCATCCCTGGCAAAACTTATGTAGTTGGAGAACGCTCATCTCATTTGATCTTCAATGACACGGTGATCAAGGGTGGCAGTCCCACTGGCACCTTGATGTTGTATTTGCGCGTATCCCCCAGGAGCCTTTTGCTCTGATTGTGTGAGGGGATGACCCTTCGATTGGTTCGACTCCATGGTTCAACTATACCTTCGATTGGTTCGCACCCAGGTGCGAGGAATGCGTCCCTTCCGAGCCGGGCCTTGCGACGAACGGCATCCAGAGCTTCGCAAGAGGCTCCGTGAGTGAGTGAATAGTCGGCGCCCATACTCCCTCTAACAACCACCGTGTTTGGACATAGCTGTGGTTGCGTTCATTCAAGAAATTAGTCTCTTGTTTCTAAGCTGTCTTTTTGGGACGGGGTGGGTGTAGAGAACAAGATGCTGCTAGTGTAGGCTGCGGATGAGTGCATGTCATTGGCATTGCTAGGAGGAAAAACATCTCTCCTTGGTTTGTCCCGAACACTCCTGACCGCATGATTAGAATGGATGTATCTGTATGAGTGAGTACACATCTTCTGTTTTACATCACTGTGCCCGTTCGGGTCTAGAAGGGGCGTATCTGTCAGACCGAGAGGCGAGTAGCAGATCAAATTAGATGGTCTACGCTTATACGCTTATACTAAAGTCCAACTGTTAAAAAAACCAAAAAGACAAGGACAGATGGACCGTAGCAGGAGCAGAACACCGGGTTACGATACTTTTGGAAGTTTAACACCTCAGGTGGTTGGCTTGAGCAACAAAGAACAAAACAAGTGAAGACAAAAGTATCTCAATCCGTGACATCTGCAATCATGTCCTGAGGCTGTGGTCTAAGTATGTGAAGTCTATAGAACGTAACATCGTAGTGCAGGAATCTGGAGTGAAGCGTTCCGTAGAAAAGGCCCCACAACAACAGAGCAAAAAAACAAGGCTCATCAACGCAGAGATCCAGAGGCCTCTGGCTGCCCTGTGCTCTTCCTAGATCCTGTCAGGCGGAGGGGTTGGGGGGAATGGGGAGAGCTGGGAAACGCATGGAAATGGTTTGACATAGTTTGGCTGGACAATCGACCACGTGGAGGAGAAAGCATGGGAAAGAATGGTTAGTAGAACCAGCGCAGCTCGTCACTGACATGGAAGTGGACAGCCCCTGTAGAGTCGAAGAGCGGTCTTCCAGCGGCCCATGTGTCCATCATTTTTTCCACTTTCCAATGTGATGTGTTCGTCAGAGTCTATGAGAAGAGCTTTGGAGATCCTTGGGGAGATCAAGAGTCTTGCGGAAAAAGATGCACCTCGACAGATGGACCGTAGCTCCAGAAACCGACACGGCGTTCACGTTCAACTTTCAACAGGTTCACTTTCATCAAGTCTTGAGAGGCCCCGATCAACAAACACCTCATGTTTATGTTTCCACTCGGCACAAAAAACCATGCGGCCCATGCTCCTCCAGATGGTTTGTGCCTCGGAAGAAGCACCCACCCCACCCCTTGGCTGACCGGCTTTGGGCCGCTTTTTGGAGGCCCAGCGTGTCCAGTCGCTTGGCGGAGCGGGAGCGGCCAGCGCGGCCGGTGGAGGTGTCCTTCCGAGGCGGTTGAGTGTGGGGGGTCCTGTAGCTGGTGGGGAAAGGAAGAGATTTGCGCATCCATGTGAAACACCCTGCCAGCAGGGAAATCCAGATTCTGAACGTAACATGCATGATGTGTAGTTCAATTGCCTTCTCAAGTTGGAGCCTTTTGCTGCATAACGTTGCGAGTTGCACAGCGTGGGTATTGTGTTCTGCTATACGCTGGGGCAAACTCGGAACATCCTGGAGAATCCTGGAAACTTATGGATGTATTTTAATAATGAGACTCCCAACCATTGGGTTTTTGGCCTTTGCTGTTTCATGCAGTCGACGACATGCCGTGGCCACCCCCCAGCTTAGCGTGAGGTAGACACACCGAAAACGGACCTCGTTGTTCAAGGTCTCCAACAATTCTTCATATTCAATGTGGACTTGCGTCCGGCATGAAAGAATTTCCACAAACTTTCAGCCACACGATCGTGAATCGGTAGCTTCAACTTCTGTAAGATATAGAAGGTCGGGTTATGAAAACCTAACCGCTTCAAAGCACCACGGTGGCATGAGAATGGTCCAAAGTCAAGGACTGTCCCAAGCCGTTTGACAAATTGCACAAAAATTCTAAGTTGCGAACTCAAATCACACCGCTGAAGGTCAGCCCGCACGGATTCATCGTGCATGACAAAAGCAGTGCTTCGAGATCTAGTCTTCTTCAATGTTCGGTCGTAGACCGGAGCCATATGGCCGGTCGACATGGAAAATGAGATGTAAATCTCCAAAAGGCTAGTCTCACCAGGGCCCAACCATTGGGTTTTGGTCTACTTTCTTTCTTCCACGTGGTCGGACATGTTGAGAGCTGCAGGGGATGAGACCGTGCCGGAGGCGAGCGCGGGAACCACCCACCGTGGCTGTGAGAATAGGTATCGTTTGAGACATTCGTTTGGTTTTAGTGTCATCCAGCTGGGATAGATCCTATACTCTTGCATCATATCATGCAAACCTTTTGACTTGGTCATGATATGCTCATACAATCTCATACTGCCGCACTTAACAGTGTATCGCTATGTTTTAAATCCCAGGCTTTGGAACTTTGGGGCAAAGAAATATGGACTCTTGGATCAGAGGCTTTGCAATACATGGAGGACGCTCTTGCCACGGCAGATGCCTATCCCAGACACGACCCATAGGACAAATGTTCGATGGTTGAAAAGGAGTCAAAGTAGGCACATATTCCCGTCACATCGAGTGTGTACCTGGCTATTTGACATGGCTGTAACTGGCAAATGCGAGGCAACAAACGGTTGCAAATCTTGCGAAACATTAGTGAGGCAAGTGACCCATACTTCGGGGCGGGTTGATGGTTTCTTTCCAGGACAGTCCAGGGTTTCACTATCCAGTGCTATGCCAGCGCACCGAATGAGTGCTCGCAAGCTCACGGGTGTGAAGGATTCCACAGATCACTTAGTAACTTAGTAAGTTAATCTTCTAAGGACTTCGCCCTAGAGCAGGCCTTATGACTGATTATAATATAATATAGCAACAACTTGCGGGCAGGCTTTGGACGAGCGGAAATGGGCATGTTTCCTGATTTGGTACAAACATGTACGATCTGACCTTCCGCAAATCAGCCAATAAGCACAGCGAGGCAACTTTCTGTAGACTGTATCAGAGAAGATCTTGTTCACCACCAATCAACAGGTCTACCAGTCGAAACCCAAACTCGCCAAACTAGCCGGGCACTTATGGCTTTTGGAGGACAGTCAACCCTCCCCATTCCCACGGCGGTTGTTGATGGATCACCGCCGAAACTCGTGCCGAACCACACCGAGAAACTCGCGCACCGGTGGCTGCCGTTTCGCTGGGAGGCTCTCAACCGAGTGCAACCAGAGGTGGTGGTTGTGCGTTCCTCGAAGTTGAAGGACCGTCCGAGTTGAAGGCCGTGGCGTTTCCGATTCCGCGGGTGCAGTTGAGGTGGTGCTTCCGACTCAGCGTTTGGGCAACATTGGAGCGGGAATGGGTCGGTTTTTTTGGGAGGACTCTTTTTTCCAAGTGGGTTTGAGATGTTGGACCAGAACGTCTGTCGTTCAGGGCGCTCGGAACTGCTTCAGGGCGCCCGGTCGAAGATTGGATTTGGCCACTCAGAGGCCCGCCGCTCAAAAATGCAGACCAGCTCGGCATATCAAACGTTGATTTTGTGGGGTGGTCAGTGGTCAAGTCGGCTTGAGGAAGAAACAAGGACCCAATCAATCCGTCAAAATCAGATCTGTGCGGTCGACCGCTTCTCAGACGCAAACGGAAGGGTAGTGCATAGAAAGGGTTTTGCAAAAGCCTATTCTACTAAAATCGTGGAAGGCGTGGGACATTCTGACATTCGTAGAACCCAAGGCTATTCGTGGACAGTTCGTGGAATGGTGGGCCAGTAGGAGAACTGACTGCAACGAAATTCCAGAAACCTTCGCAGAACTTGCATATTTTTGATGCACTAACTATAAGCGATTTTTGCTGACCCCCTTTCTCCACACACCCTCCATTTAGCCTTCAGCTTCGGCTCGACATGATGAGCGTCAGCATGTGCAAGAGATGCTCAGCACACAAGAGATGCTCGGTGTGCTGAGTGTGATTCAGTGTAGACAGAAATTTGGAGCACATCGCAAGCATATCAATGAAACAAATAGGTAATGAAGAAGCGATAACACAAGGACAATGAGCGCTCAGACTTGGGGTTACTTGCCCACCCCACTTAACAACGAAGCAGTTAAACCCGGTTAAACCCAGAGTTCTTGGCTGAAACCATTTGCGGTGGCCAGGTCGCTACCGGGGGAGAACTACGTACTGTACCTGTTTTTTCGCTCTTTTTTGGGTGCAGGGCGTCATTTCGAAGACGCCGAAGTCAGCCCAAGTCCCAGATTTTATTGTCCGATGAGCTGCAACTCAAATCACCTCAGCTTGTGCCGCACGCACCCACGTCTTTCCGCACCGTGCAGAATCCACTGGCTGCGCCAGTGGCTGCGCCATGCCGCGCCGGGCACGAGCAGGGCCAGTATCGTCACGGGTTCGGTCCCATGATGCTGATCAGGCGGGATGAGGAGGGGGAAGATGAGGATTCAGGTGACTTGATGAGGCCATTTTTGGTTTGAGGACGCCATTTTTACGGTGTGTGGGCTTGTTCGAGGCAGTGGCCCAAAGTCACAATGGGCAGGTAGCCTTGCAGTGAAGTGAGCAGAGACCTGAGAGTTTCTTGGGGATGTTCGATTATCCAGTACTGGGTGCCACTTCGTCCATTCTATCTCATATTGACTCAGGTGCGAGGCTATCAAATCAGGTGATAGGAGGGTAATTGATGTAATTAGAGTAGCCCATTGACCTGCAGGTATGAGCAGAGAAAGTCTCACCAAACCCTTTTCGTTGTATGGGTTGTACATCCATACATTCAGATAGATCCTTATGGGTATTGGTTGTACATCCTATAAGGAATAGACAGTGGAAAAGACTTTTGAGCACAAGCGCTCGCGTTGATGACATTCAGCCTTCACGGGTGTTTGCGCAAGAAGGTGGGACCGATCAGTGCTCGCTGCCGTTGAGTTACTGCGAAAAAAACGGCCGGAGCTTTTGGATGTCCCAGTGTGTGCTTTGTGTGGTGAAGTGAAGAACAACAGGGTGGCATCCTTTAAGAATGTGCTTGGAGTCGCTTGACAGTTCGGCCAGATCCCTTTGGGGGCTATGATGGTCCTGGAAGTGCGGCAGCGAAGTGCGTCAGGCAGAGGCGACAGCAGCAGCGGACGACAGCAGCGGCGAGGAGGGAGAGACGACCCACACGGGCATCAACCCGACCATGATGAACGCACGTTTCGGTCACGTGGCGTTGGGCGTTGGGCGTTGGTTGATCCAGGACATCGGAGCACTGTGATGGAGGAATATGGAGGCCATATACAGTAATCAGTTCTTGTGGACAAGGATCATGCAAAGTGTCAAGGTGTCCTTTTCTATTGTGTTTGGCAGTACTCACGACTCACGATGTTCAAAGTTGTTGTTCAACCAACCAGTAAGGTCAGACTCTGCGAAATGGTGGGAAGTGGACTTTGGTATGGGGGCGTTGGAGCCTATAGTACCTCGATATTACTGAGTTAATCCATGGGAGTTGATGGAAAACCCCGTGTAAGGAGTTTTATACAAAACAGCCTTTCAGATGTTGTTAGAACCATCCGCGAAAGATTCGCGATGAGGTTCGCGAAAGTATCTTTTTTTTCCGCGAAAGATTTATCGAAGGTCATCGGTTTCATAACTCCTTTCTACCGGACTGACAAAGAATAGAAATACAAGGCAATCCTCCGGCAGAGCCGGTGGGCGGAAGTGTCCCCATATGTCACAGACTAACGAACTGAAGCCTCAACATTTCCGTGCCCAGCCCTGGCAGCGCGTAAAGGATTCTCCGATTCCTGTCCCCACTGTCACAGACTAGCAACCTGAGTAGGCACAGCCCTGACAGTTAGGCAACGACCTGCAGCTGCTCTGACGGGCTGTGCAGATGTTTGCAAAAGTTACGGGTTGCCGGGGAAAGCACCAGTGAAATTTCGCGAAAGCTTCGCGAATGTGCCGCTAAAGTCCAAGTTCCCAGCTTGAGGCCCCCAGCTGTGTCTGATTCTATTTGGCACAATTTTCGCACAGATGCTGCAAGTGACCCTGAGTAGCTGTGGGAACGCTCAACCTTCTGCTGGGGTCATGCTGCAAGATGTCTGTCCCTACTTTGTGATACTATGACATGTTCCGGCTCATGTTAGCTATAGACATGGTTGTAGGACCATGCTTCGCGATGAGGCCGCGAAAGATACCTGTTTTTCCGCGAAGAATGGCCGTTCCAGGATGAAAGAATATTGATCAACCACCACATGTTAATGCATGTTAATACTAGAATCTTCCGAAAGTGCGATCGTTTGCACGAGTAGCTATTGCGGCCATCATTGTTTGCCTGAGGCAACAGCGCCAGTCACCCTCTGGGATGGTCTGGCACAGGACCCAAGAGAGCTTCAGCCCAGGTGGGACAGGAAGAAACTTTGGGAGGGATGCTATGGGAGGTACACCATGCCAAACTTCACAGGGTCGTTGGTTTGGGAGGCTTTGGGTACAGGAACATGTGTATATATTATATATAGTGACCTTGTTGGATGCTGCATGGTCGAGCATGGTGCAGGCACGGAAAGTAATCTACTTTACTTTTTATTTCTGCAGATGAACTATTCCATCCGTTCATCAAAACAGAAGCTGCGGCTAATGATGAAGCCATGTTCAGGTACGGTCCCGCCTAACTGACTACAGTTCATGAGAGTAGCACTAGCAGCTAGCACGAGAGTCACGAGAGTGGGTTTGCGTTGAGTTTGTTTAGAAGGAGCGAGCTGAGCTGCTCGTTTATTTGGGTGATGGTTTCAGACGCCTCAAAGAGGCGTGGCCAGAAATTTGGGTGAAGCCGGGCCGATGGAGGATGTTTTCATTTGAAACCATGCTCCTTCCAACCAGCCCATGGCATTCACCCGTTGAAGATTTCCTTTGAGACCCCGTATCAGGTGCAAATCTGCCATCTAGTTGTTGCTACCCTGCGGGACACACATGCACTGAACCCTTGTAAGAACTTGAAGCTTGCTTTCTGTACTTCCAACCAAACAAGCGACATCACTCAACCAACCACTCCAACCCATGAAGCGAAATGCATGTTGTTTCAGGTCTGAAATCCTTTTGCTGCGTCGTCGGAGTTAGCGGCGAGTTTTGGGCAGGCCACGCGGGCAGAAAGAGGCGCGACAGGGTGGAGCCAGGCAGAAGACCTGGGAGTGTACCAGGAGTTCTTGGCTGCCGCAGCACAAGTGCCTGAAGCCCTCCCCAGGCCAAGTCCGGGGATCAGATCAGAGCGAGTGGGGAACGGGAATGGCACATCTGGAGGGCTTCTCGGTTTGTTGGCACTTGAACTGAGTCTCTTGATGGTTCACGGACGTTCCCTTGAGAACTTCGGCCTTGAAGCTGATTTACGGTGTGCTGACGTATGAATGGGGTACTTGACCGCGCTGCCTTCCACGTCCTGATCCACCGGGGAAGAAGGTACTCGTTGATCATAGAACTGGCATCAGTTCCGCGCTGCTCGAGCACCCCAGCAGTTTCTTGACCAAGCAGCTTCTTCGCTGCTCGAGCTTCCGGAAAGCCAAGCTTGGCCGAGTGACCCTCAGTGAAAGACCTGTTGGGTTCCCAAGTCGTCTGGGTGAGTGTTATGAACCAAACAGGATGGGCCGTTCAACCTGGAGTCGACGGTGTTCGCTTCACCCTCGTGCCCGGTCGTGAAAAAAGCCCTGGTGGGGTCCCATGAACTGAAAGGCGACTGATGAAGCCACTGGGCACCTGATGAAGCGTTGGGTCCAATGAACCTGCTTCAGAAGGCCGCTAGGCCGCTAGGCATTGGAGATGAGGCATTGGAGTTGATAACTTCAACTCAATCGTCAATCGTCCAATTAGGGGGTGTATTCCGAATTCCGGAGCTCATGTGGCAGTGGAGAAAGACCAGCTCCAAATCCTGATAGGTTGACCTGCTTAGGCTAGTCTGTTGATGTTCGGTGGTCAACCAGGGATGACCCCACTGCCATGACCCCACTGCCATGTCGTTTTTCCTTCAACCAACTCGGCTGTCCTTTGCCACCCAGTCGTTTTGGGCCTGAGCTCCGGTCTGTCACCGATCGCAGGCCCGTGGCCCTGGACTTGGACGTGCGTGTGGTGCTGAACCTGCCCCCGCAGAGCCCAGTGGCCGCTGAGCTCCAGGTGGTGCTTTGGGCAGCAAGAAGGTCATGGAAGATGCAGCGTGGAACCTGGTCAAGTCGATGGGGTTATTTAGGATCACTGATATCACTGATATCTACACCCCCCCAAACGACTAACATGGAACCTG